TTCCTGCTTTGCAGATTTAACAACCGAATCCTGGAGAGATTAAGTAATTTATCCAAAGTCAGAAGGAGCCAGTGTGAGCTGCAACTTCAGCTCCTGTTGCTATGCTCAGAAAGGAGCTAGCTTTTTTTCTTGTGACCAGGAGAGATGCATGAAAACCTCTGCCATACTCCCTCACGAAACTCATTGTGGCTGCCCCACAGATACCAAAAAGTCTAAATCTTGGAATGAACCCATCACACCTTTGGTCACAGCTGCCACAGCAAGACAAATAAAGGTCAAATTCACTCCAAGGGTCTGTCAGCTTTTTGCTGAGCCAGGGCTTTAAGCACAGATGTTACTCCTTGCCTGTCAAAAAAAGCCACATTCACATCAATTCAGAAACACTGAGCAGTACTGAGGCCACAGGGAACCCAGCCCAAGGATGGTTTCAGCTTGTGTCACAAGCTGCAGACAATACTCAGAAGAAACATCTGTAACACCCAGTGAGCTGAAGGCCTTTTCCTCATTAGATGCCCAAGTTCCAAGTCAAAGTTGAGCTACTCACCTCATCATCCTTGTACCAGGAGAGGTTCTCTGCTGTCAGGACAAACCAATACTCCTTGGAGCCACCCTTCATGATCCCAATGTTGTTGATGGTGAGCCAACCCTTTCGGATGACCTACGGGGGTAGAAGCAGTGAGCATTAACAAAGGCCCTAAAAGCCTGGCTTTAGGCAAAAGAGGAAAGATCAGAGGATATCCCTACACACAGAGTAGTATGGAAAGACAAGGAACACCGTGCTCTCTGCTGCTGCCAGAAGAGCCCCCCACTCAACTGGCCAGTGAAGGTCTTTGCTTTGAAAGGGCCAGGAATAGTATAAAAAGGACGCAGGAAGGAACCTGGCAGTGCTGTGCATTATACCCTCTGCCAAGGGGAAAGAGATGCAGGAAGAACTGCATCAAGAGTGCCTCCGACACTGGCAGAACCTACAAGCACCAGATCACAGCAACACACCGAGAAAAGGCCACACCTAGAGAAAAACAGGACACCAGCACACCTTTGCACATGTGGAGTGCTTCACTCATGGGTGGGGGGAACCAGTTCCAGAAGAGATGGGCAAGCAACCCAGAAAACTGACTTTAGTAAAAAGAAGACATTAAGTATAACAGAACAAAATGGTGCATCTGGAATTAGTACCCTGGACTTCAGCACATCCAGGTATTTGAGTAGTCATACTAATTTACAGCAAAACAAGTTCCTTTAAGTTAGTCTGTAAAGAAGCCAGGCCATTACTCTCTAGGAAACTCCAGTTCACCAAGTGCTGGTTTAGAGCCTCACACATTCAGTAATCAAATGCAAGTATGCATCAGCTTAAATGCATTAGCTTTTATATGTATTGCTGCACTGTTAACACCCAAACCCATCTGCATGCATTAGGTGTGTGTACCTTTGTTGTGTGGATGTGCTTGCTGAAAATGACCTGGCATTGAAAAACCATGCAACTGCTCTGCATATTAGCAAGTTGCACTGTGTGAGCAGCCTACCACAGAGGTACACAAGCCTATTAATTGTCAGTTTACCCTATAAAGGTAAACATAGCAACATTAGATCCTCATCTCACGCCTGCTGTTAAGCTCAAGATAGTCCTGTTCTTTTTGTGGACAGGAGGGGGCAGTGAAACAGAACCACACATCTTTGGATTGCTGCTTTTTATCTCCACCCACTCACAAGATGTACCAGCAGTTCTGAGTGTTTCCTCAACATACTACCTTTCCACCTCATTTCTGCTTCACCTGTGTCTAGTGCCAGCTGCCATCCTCTCCCCATTCAGCAGCAGAGGGAATAATTTGTCTATGCACTGTTCTTGCCTTCCCAGATGCAACATTAATGTTCATTAGCACACCCTGCTGAGTGGCCTTCTACTCACCAGGATCTCATCCTGCAAAGGGGAACCATAGCAACAGCAGCAGAGCAGAGAGCAGGAGAGGAGCAAAGAGAGGAGAGATTGTTACTAGGAAAGCTGGAGCAGGAAAAGAGAGGCTCAAAAATAAAATAAATTGGAAGCTGGTACCAAATTTTTTACCCTAGTTGTTAACAAAAGCAACCCCCATCCCAAAATAAAGTCTGCTAACAGGAAAGCCAAAGCACTTTACAGGTAGATCCAGAGTTTGCCCTTTGCACTCTTTACATTCAGCTCTTCTGTAAGGTACACTGCAGAGGATGAGGTTCCCATAGCTGCTCTGAGATCCCATGAAATGGGTGGTTGGCCAGCCCAACCTGCTGACCTACCTGCCTGCTAACAGTACTGAAATGGTCTGCGTGTTTGTGTGCAGGGAAAGGTGGTCAAACATGTTATAAAGAGGGTGGATGTCAGGAGTGAATGTCTTTTTAAAAAGGCTAAGCAAAAAACATTTGTTTCCATTCTCTATGAAGCTGCTTGTGAGGCTTTGTTTCTACAAGATCTTCTAGCCTAAATAGCCTTGCCATGTCCCCAGCAAAGCTAGGACAAGGTGTCATTAGCCTCTTTTTAATTGTATGTACACTCCTTACAGTTCCTGAAGGAGTAAGGGAACTCCTCCCCTCCACTGCTGCCTTCTCCCATGGATGTGTTCTCATACATACCCAGTGCAGCTATGGCTATAAACACCCTTTGTCTCCCTGTACAGGGGTTTAAGTATTCCCAGTGAAGTTTTCCAGAATAGAGTCCATGAACTCTCTTGAAATCCCTTTCCAGAAAGCAGATACCACTGATGGGAAAGACAACTAGGAGAGACAATTCTGTACTGAAACAGTTCAGACCTAGTATTCAGTACCCCTCACCTCAGCAGAAGAGTTCACACAGCTAGTGAAGAGGCTGAACACACAGGCATTTACACAACATTAATAGGGATTTCTACCAGAAAAGCAAGACCAGATCTTATCAAGCATCCATTTCCCTTTCAACACTTTCCCTCCATTGCTGCTGCATGCTCAGTTCTTCCTGACTGCAGTGAGCCTAGAACACTATCCTCCAGATACAGAGTTTGATGAGTAAAAAAAAAAGGCAAACTTAGTGCACTGCTGCATCCAGCCCAGCACTTATCCACCTGGTATCTTCCAGGTAGCAAACATGTCCTTCTTGCAGCAGTGAAAGAGATGGAACTTGGCCTACCTGGTTGCCAGCTGCCTTCTTCTTGCTCATCTGGCTGCTCCTCTGCTGAGCACTGCAAACAACAGCAGAGACATTCAAAACCCCTCAGGCTCTTCTTGATCACCTGAATCCTGCTCCCATCAGACAGCTGCTACAGTGAGTTCATGTCCCTCACCACTGGCTTCCAAGCCTTGATAACCCAACCTATTGCCATCTGCTCTCTCAGCCTGGTCTACTCAACTTCTCACTCCCACCTGAACCACACCTGGGTTACTAACCCTCCCCCCCCCCCCCCCCAACACAACCCTAATACTGTAACTCCCCCTTTTACACATCCCTATTCTCCTCCCCAGCCTTGCAATACAGAACCACTGAAAAAATGAGCAATATTGAGAGCTGAACCATAATGTGAGACCACAGCACCTGCACCAGGACCTTTGCAACCCATTCACCAGAGCAGCTATAGCACAGAGCCACAGGAAACACATGCAGAGAAGAGGAGGCAATAGGATGTGGGTGCTTACTTGGCAAAGCCAATGAAATCCTCATGGTTTGTGTTCATGTAAGCCAGCTCAATGTCTATTAGAAGCATGACCTGCCAAACAGAGGCACAGAGCAAGACAGACGTTAGTGACTGACACTGCTAATAGTTGGGGCAGACAGAGCCCTGTACACTGTTTATCTGATCAGCCCTCTGCAGCCAGACACCCCTTGGCTCAGGCCCCTCCAGCCTAGACTGTCCCTTCAAAGGTGTCCCCACCCCACCCAATCTCCCCTCTTACACACACTCCTGATCCCCTACCTGGTCTTTGGTCCTGCCTTCTCTCTCACGGATGTGAGTAGTAACGATCCTCTCCATCTCCTCACGCAGATGAGGGTACTGGCTGAGCTGCAGGAGACAGGAAACACGTGCACATGGGAAAGGGAGGTATAAGGGGGGAGCAGCCCCCCACATGTATGCATGCGTACATACACCCTGCAATCAGATATTTTCAAGGGAAGTTCTAGAAAGCTGGACTTGCAGATAGATATTTTTCCAAGTTCCTGGAGGTCTGCTGGGGGCACAGTTCATTCCATCTTGCTTTGGGTTTCAGAGAAAAGCCCTTTTCACTCTTGCAGCAACCTTTCTGCCTCACTGGAGACCTGCTCCAAACCCACCACGTTCTTCCTGGCATGAGGCTCTTGACAAACCCCAGATGTAAACGCACTACTTAATGCTTGTTGGGTTTTTCCCATTAAAGTGAACAATTTCTCTAGATGTTCAGATTCTCATTGTAGTAGGCCAAGTAGGCGAATGGCCTGTAGCTACAACCTGCCAAATCCTACAAGAAGTCTCCCTGGGAGGTGAAGTGGATTTCAATCCCATTTGCTGAGGCACTAAGTGAAAGCATCTGGCCCTCTCCAACATCTACAAGCAGAGACAGAAGATCTGACCAACTCAAGGGTATATGTCTTCAAGAAACACTGAGCTCTGGGCATCCATCTGCTTCTACCTGCTCTCCACCTGTGTTAAGGCAGGATTACATAGCTGAGGTCTATATTCATATCATACCTACACCACGCTTTCTGGCACAGTACTGAGGAGGGAATCCTTTCCTCCCCAGATGGAGAAGTAGGACTTTATTAGCTATGGTTCAAAAGAATAATATCTACAGAGATCATACATGAGAAACACTTCCAAAATCAGCACCCTTAAAGCTCTCTGGGTTTCACACAGCACCTACCTACCTGGATTCATAAGCCTCCAGTAATTTCAATAGCAGTAACTGTATGCTTCTCAGGTCAGGCCCAGCACAGTCAAATGAAATTAATTCTCCAGACCCAGGAACTAGCCCTTTCTTCCCCACTTCACCTAACCCCTGTGAAATAGTTCCCCCTTCCCTTTTTTTTTTAATATTACCTCCAATTTGACTATAATGTCAAACTGCATTTCCTAATATCAGTCTTCTATATCCTGTCGAGGGGGTGTATAAATAAAGAAATCTCATTTGCCTGTGATCTGTACTACATTTGGTTTGTTCCTCCAATTTATATGAGCTGCTTCGGCCTTTCGTTCTGTATACATAAGCAATTACCACATGCTAGAAGGAACTGGCTCAAAGTGTGTAGCATCAGTACTGGAAGCCAGATACCACACTAACCAGCAACAATATTCCTAACACCTGACTACAAATAGTCTCAAATCCTTTCAGCACCCTTGCAGTCAAACAAGTTGCAATAGCCTGGAACTGAAGTTGAGGACTAGCTTTGACACTGCCTGTTTTGAACACCAATGAACCTACAGGGGCAGGAAAAAGCAAGTGGAATTAGCGTTCCCACCACCACCTTGTCTTGAAAGCACAAACTGGGTGTTCTCCATGATCTTTATGGTTCAGGCAGCTGGTTGCTTCAGAGACACACAGGCAAAGCTTCCTGTTTCCTTTGGGGGGTTGGCAAAGGATAGATGGGCAAGTTATGTCAAACAGAAAAGCAGGAAGTTGGAAAACCTCTAAGCAAGTCTCAGCTTCTTTGCTTCAAATTAAAAAAAAAACCACCAAACCAACAGTCAAACAAAAAAAACATATCAAACCTCCCACCACCACCACTCCCAACCAGTACAAATGCACACAAAGTGCAAAACAAGTTGTGGTTTATTCAGAACCCAGGTCATCCAGCAACATTCATGTGCAAAAATAAATTGACAGCATCAGTCCCCATGCAGGAGCTTCCAACCCCAAGCATGCACAGGAGAAGCAAGGGTGGGCAAGGAAGGACAACACAGACAAGCCACAGGATGGCAGACCACCAGGAAACATGCAATAGGGCAGAGAGGGGGCAAGGAGTTATCACCAGCAGTACAAACAGCACCCAGAAACGCCATGACTCTGAAAGACAGGAGAGCAGGCGACCCTTCAAGGGGTTAAGTCTGTCAGCCTGGGATCATGTCCCAGCTCAAGTGGGTTTTCAATCCTGTTTTAGCTGCATTTGCCTGTTTAGTCAAAATACAAGCTTACAGCCCTCTTTCAAAACCAATTTGTCCCAATGTTCCTTAGTTCCCCTCTTTGCAGATTCCAGGAGTCCTTGCCAGCACACCAAAGATCAACCTCTAGCTGAAGAGCTGCTGACTTGCAAGACCTTCCTGCACTTCTGAGATGCTGCAGTGCAGTCTGGTACAGAAGGTTCCTGCTCTTGGAAAGACACTAGCTGTAACATTATCCTCCTAAGCGTAAGGGCTTACATGCTTACACCAGCTTTCTGTGGATTCTGGAGCTACTCTCTAGTTAACCAATGGGAAGAAGCTCAGAATCAGAGGCCGGTCAGAGAAAAGCTGTTAATGGCTACCTTCTCTTCAGCCCTTAACTTTGTCTAACAGTCAAGAGATAGTCAACTTCAAATCCCTTCTCATACAGGAAAGCTGTAGCTCTGTAGACAGATGGGTTTGTCGCCTTCTGTGTTCTTTATTGATAGTCTCATTATTCCATCTATGCAGCTTTATCAACTGCATATACAAAGATTTCTTCACCATCTGGGGTGAAATGAAATAATTGTGACAGCACACAAACAGCAACACACAATAGTTCAAGACAGCAACAAACCAAGGCTACAGGACTGTTAAGCTAATTCAAGAGGTGTTAGTCCAAGCAGTCTTCCTCTCAAGAAGCCTTGCAGGACTTCTAGTGAGTTTTTATCATCTGTTTATCATATGAAAGGTAGCATCAGTCCACACCACAGTGGGCTGTGTATTACCTTACAATTAGCATCAGTCCTAAAGTAGCCTTTTCCAGATGCCTCCCCTAGCAGCACATGCTCTTGTCCATGTCAAGCAGTGAGGGCTATAACATGCAAGATAAATATTGCAAATTAACTAATGCCCCTGCTCTGTTACTACCTTATGCCATCAGAACCCATCTCAGGCTGGCTGCTATCCTAGAGTGGTCTATGGCAATTACCTTCTACTCTTTCAGAGGGAGATACGGGCAACATTAACCTTCTCACTACATGTAGACATTTGACTTTAAGCATTACTAAATCCTTCCTTTTATTTCCCTGTACTATGGCCACATATTTTCATTCAGGCAGTTGTTTTGCATCTTTAACACTTGCCTCCCTGGCCTCTCCGGCTTTTATTACAGCCATTAGTCTCCTACAGTGCAACTGCTACTATCACCTTCCTTACAGAATTATCTTGGTTGCATCACCTTGGAACATCCTCATGGGATCCCCCACCATATCACACAGATTAAAATCCACAGAGCAAGTTGGTATCCAGCCACTCTAATGACATGGTCCAATAGAGAAACTGGAATTCACCACCCTTGGGTGATTTCATGATCCTCCTCCCTCTCTACCCTGGGCAGACATCTCCAGCCACAGAAAACAGAAAACAGTGTAAACAATCAAACCCATCAAAATAAAAAAACCTGCAAGAAAAACAGGCTGGAAAGGAGTTACTCTGCCTCACCACATTAGCCACCACAATCTGGCAATAGCAGAACTCTGCAAGAAATAGACTGGGCAGAGCTTGGGGCACATCAAAGATGTCTCTTAACAGAGGTGGAGGCAAACTCTGTATTCCTAAGTACAACCAGACCTTATTAGCTCAGCTCTCGCCTTCGGTCTGAACTCATAAATTCTTCATCTTCCCTTCCTTCCCAATTTAGGGGTAGATGTTGATGACTCTGGCTGTAATCCTGGAAGAAGGGAATTGTAATTTTCAAGTCCTAAAATAACCCATGAAACAGCCCTTTCCAACTCAGTGTCCAGAACATACTTCTATTGTGCCACAGATGTATTTCTGGCCCCTCTCTAGTAAGTTTAACACTAATTGCCACATCTGCCTTTTTTTTTTTTTTTTTGAGGAGGCATGTGGTGCCCTCTCCTGGAAGAAACCAGCCTGGGAAACAAAACCACTCCTGCCCCAGCCTCCGAGCAGTATTTGACACCCTCCATGTCACTCAGGGCAGTTTCCCTCTCCACCTGCAGCTGCCCTCTGCTAGCTTAAGGCTTCACAGCATACAAGGAAAAGTATCCACACTTCCTCACACTGAGCAGAGTCCATGGAGTGATAGATCAGCAGAAAAATGATGCAGAGGGTGTGTAATGCCTGGAAAAGCTTTTTCCCCCAAGCCTTTTGGGACAGTAATCTTCTGTTGACTCCAAATATCTCTTGCACCTCAAACTTCTAATCAACTGTTTTGTATATGCTACTGTTCATCATAGCTCTGCAGACAAGATGAAACCTGCAGACCACTCATGCTGTGGGGATGTGAAGTCTTTTTCTAGCTTTTTATCTTTTTCTAGGGTATCTGGATATTTTAAGGGTGTCCCAGAAAAAAACAAATAAGAAGTTCCAAATGCACAGGCAGTGGCACAGCAAACAGGGCTTTGATCCACACTGGGGTGAATGCCACCGAGCCAGATGGAGCAAAAGGGTATGCTAGAGTAATCCACTGGATCCCAGCTCACTTCTCAGCTACAGCCATCAGCTGACACTCACTTCTCTTGGCCTGCTTTTAAGCTGCTCTTGTACCTGCAGGTTGCTGCTCTCTTTTAGATAGATCTTTACATCCATTTTTTCCTCACTAGGTTTGCTGGAGTTCTGGGGGATGTGTGGAGAAACAGCATGGAAGTGTGTGGGAACAGGGTGGGCGTTGACCTTTCTTTGCATTTTTTGTTTCTTTACCTTTTCGCTACACTTTCTGATGGTGGATGTGAGCTCACTCACTACCATATCCACACACTTCAGACTCGGCTCCTTCAACTTCTGCACCTGCTTTTTCACTATGGCTTCAAAAGCGAGGTCAGGCGTGAAGAGACCCGTTCTGCATGGCAGGGGCAGGGTGGGAGGAAGCAACGAGGAAGAAGAAAGCGAAGCAGAGAAAGAGCCGGAAGGAGAAGGAAAGAAAGAGAAAAGGGAAAAGAGAGAAAACACAAGGCAAAATGAGAAGTGAGATTTTGGTTCATTCCATTAGTTTATTGAACCAGGTGAGCATTGCTATGGGGCCTGTGCACTGCCAAGTATCAGGAGAGTCTACAGGCAAATGGAAGTGGCAAAGGGGAAAATGAGGTAGGAGCAGCTGGGCCAGTGAAATGGTGAGCTGTCAAGAGCAAAATGGATGGATGGAACCCCCCACAGGGATCAAGTGATCTCTTCCTGAAGGAAAGCTTCTTTGGATTTTAAGACAAAGCTGCTTGCCACAGTGAACCACTCCCTCTCTTCCTAGAGGATCACCATGTCTCATTTCCCTTTGTCTCAGGCAATCCCTTTTCCTTCCTACCACAGTTATCTCCTCTCACATCTTCCTTATTCCAGCTGCAGGAAGCCTGAACAGGAGCCAGGCTAAGACTTGCGAATGTCTGTCACTTGCATCTGGTTTGGCAGAACTGACCTGAATTGATATCTCTCAGGGATTCAGACAAATTGGTCCACTAATGGAGCATATTTCATTTAACTCACCTTCCCCACAAATTAACTTCCTCAGTAAGAACAGATGTACCCAGTATTTAGGAAAATGCAAACACACTACATCCATAGCATGGGCATCCATAGCTATACAAAGCATCTGTTCTGCCCCAGCTAACCTGTAGCATCAGACCCAATACAGGCCTGTTGAGGTTATTAGGAAGTATTAAACTTCCACGGATTTTAAGTGGCCTGTATTCTCAGTGGCTCCACTATGAAAAAGCAGAAAGTCCATGGAAACTAGAGTTACTAAAATATGGTCAAGATTAATCCAATTCAAGACTACTGCAACCAAAGTTTTTCAGCACATCTTTAACACTTCAGAGCTTCTACCAGGATGCTCTTTGTTACACAACCTGAGTTACTTCACATAGCATAGGGCATTGCTGCTTTGCAAGTGCTTTCAAGGGGACAATGTCCCCTTGTCAAGGGAAGGGGATACTGCCTTTCTAAAGGTACAGTTCATAGTCAAACCCGGGGAGCCTATGACTAACAACCAATCTAGGGCTAGCTATAAACAACCACCACCTCATTTAAATCAGGTATTTCCCCCTTCACCTCATCTTTCACATCTCTGTGGATAACACGTGGAAAAGCCCAAGCAACATCATTATTAAAGCATTCTTCAATATGTATTATAACACCTACTAGTCTGCCTTTTAAGCAGCAAGAGATGGAATATGTTACAGGATTCAGCTTCACCAAAGGGTCTCTCAAGGTGTAAACAATGCCCCTTTTGAGCAAAGCAAGGACATTTCCAGAGTTCACGTCCTCTGACTCAGCAGCAGTTTCCTACTAATCCAGTTGCCCTGCTAAGCTCAATATACACCATTTCCCCCACCAGACTTGGGGCCCCTGCACAAAAAAAAAATATTTAAAAAAAATCAGTCCCTTCCAGTACCTGAGTATCACCTGAATGACAATATTCTGTTTCTTCAGATACAAAGTTGTAACTATGGCTACTACAGCACAGAGTAACTAGCACTCAAATTCTTAGCAGTAGGATCTAGCTAAAATGGAATGCTTCAGTCCTGAACCTGTGACATTTCTCCCCATCCCTGTTGCCTCTTCTCCCTGATTTCCCACCCTGCTGTACCCACCACCTGATCACTTGAGGAACCTGCCACTGTCAGAACAGATGATCTGTTCTGAAATTGTCACTAGGAGAAGAAACAAAAAGAAACAATGAAGAAAGAAGCAAGAAATGGGGGGGAAGGATGCAAAGAGAAAGAATGAATGGGAGATTTTGAATACCAGCTGATGGATGGAGAACAAATCAAGAGAAGCTTCAGAGGGCATGAACAAGGAGGGCCCTTCTGATCCAGTTAAGCAGGTGACTCTGGATACTTGGCAGCCCGAGGGCCTGTGCTTACCTGTCACCAGGCTCTAATGGCAATTTTCTGGGTGCTCCCCACAGTCACACACCCCAAGAGAGGACAGCAGGACAGAAAAAGGAAGCTCCTCCAGCACTCTAGAAACCTGAGCAATCTCTCACTACATCCACTTTGCTTTCCCAGTCGGTCCTGGGGGGCAAAGCACGTGCCTGCATGCCTGAGCCCTTCTATAGAGGCTCTTGGCCCTAAGGGCTAGGCATTTCTGCAAGCCATGGCAAGTATCACCACTTGGGCACCTTTCCCCACCCTTGCAGGGACAGGGTGTCAGATTCTTCAGACACCTCCTGCAATGCCCATTTACCTGCACCTGAACAGCCAGTGGCGATTCCAGTCTCCAGTGCCCATACCACCACCCTAACTGCCTTTTCACCTAGGCCTGCCTGAAGCAGAAGCCATGGCTGAGAGGAATGGCTCAAGTCTTCTTATCTTGCTGCCTTTCAACCCCCACCTCAGAAACAAAAGCTGCCATATCCAAAGGGCAGAATCAAGGCAGCTTCCCTCCCTCAGCCCCAACAAATACCAGGGTGAATCCCAAAGGGCAAAACCTGAAGCCCCTCTCAGAGGACAGGAGGACCCCAGAGATTGATGGACATTTCTTACTTCTTCTCAGCCATGTGCTGCTCTTCCAGAACAGGATATGGACCAAGCCAACCAGAAACCAAGCCAAACACCACAGGAATATTTCCCTGAGATACAGCCCACACCTATAACTGCTGCAGGCTCTGAAGTTCAGCCCCATACATTCCCCCCAGCAGCACCCAAAGGCTACTTTGGGGTTAACCCTCTCACGTCTACAAGAGAGGGGAGATAATTTAAATCCCAGTTTCTGGCTTGGAAAATAAACCCAGATACTAAATTTAAAGTTAAACGTGACCACATAAGAAATACCCTTGGTTTTAGGAGAAGTCAGGAGTCATGCTACAGAGAGGTGGCGGGGACACCTCCAGCACCTTTCAGCTCTAAAACATTCAGGGAGCAGGGCCATGGCCCACATCCCGCAGCACTCCCCTTCCTGTTTGGCTTGTTGGCTGGATCGCCCCAGGCTGGTACTGCTCAGGTCTAGTCATGCTGAGGAGGTGGTTAGAAACAACAAGTGTGGCTGCAGGCAAGTCCCTGCCCAGGTCACAATGCTGTGCCGCAGCCAGCGAGCGAGTGGAAGGTGCCAGCTCCATGCTGCCTCAGGTTACCTTCTTGGTGCACTGTCTAACAGTATTGATTAACTCCGAAATGACCATGTCCACGCATTTCAGGCAAGGTTCCTTAATCTTCTTCACCTGCTTTTTCACAATGGTCTCAAAGGCCATGTCGGGTGTGAAGAGACCGGTTCTAAACACCCAGGGTGGGGACAAGACAAGGCAGGAGGGGGAGAAGGGGCAAGGAGAATGTCACATCATTACACACACATCTTGAAGCAGGCACCGCCACCACTGAAACCCGGCACAAGGGGCTGGGGAGCATGATGTCCCCTGGACAAGCCCTGACTGAAGTCCATGGAAAACGGGGAATGCTTGGCACCTCCCAGGAAGGAGGTGCTGAGGGCAAAATGGATCCCAGCTGGACAGCCACAGCCAGGCCACCATTTGACCTCAGCCACCAGGCCCTAAGGGTGGCAGGGGCTGACCCCTCTGCAGCATATTGGACCTCAGAGTTGTGCAGCAGATGCGAGGCCTTTTCTGAAAGATTTTTCTTAATGATTAGAGCACCAATACATTTGATACCCTTTATCAAGCTCAGCTGGTGACCAAGCAAGAGAACAGAATGAAAATAAATCTAGGTCAGTATTTGTTCACATCCCAGTGTGCAGAAAGGGCTCTGACAGGTACTGGACACTGCTCACCTTCCCAGGAACAGCACAACTTGGGGTTTCAGGGCTGTGCTGCCTCCGCTGAGGGGAACAAGCGTTTTAACTGTATCCTGGGGCCATTGGGTGGAGGTGCTCAGCACCAACAACTAACTATTGGTTAGTATGGAGGCAGAAAGTGAAAACCAACATTTTAGTTTTAACTAAATGAGTGAGTAGTATGGGCTTGCATCCCTCTTTATCCTTTCTTACGTCAAGACACAAGAAGGGAGAAAATGTCTAGTCACCACGGCAGTTTTACCTTTTAGGCTTCTGCAACGCTCGTGTGGGAAGAGAAAGCAAACTGACTTGGATGATTGTCCCTACTCCCAGATTCAAGCCACTGGGGTGGTCCAAGGAAGTTATCCCTCCCCTTTGGCTGACCTACCGTACCTCTGAAGTCTTCAACTCCATTTGGAAGGTCTAGAGGTATTTACAAGGCTATGCAGCCAATGGTCTGCCTAGTGCGTGATACGTGCCTGATACCATGGATGTTCTTGATGGCATAGCTAATCTCCCGCCGCAGCTCCTTCTCATCGAACTCCATCTGCACCAAGAGAGAATTTTATCAGAAACTGTCTGACACTTATTTGCACAACCCCAGGATGCACAACAGCATGCTTCACAGAGGAGAGGTCCCATGCCAGCACCATCATGTGACAGATGAGATATTAGCCCAAGTGTTGGACACTGAGTCCAGCCATAAAGCTTCTCTCGCCAATACAGACATCCTGGACAAATATGAATAGCTAAGGGCATACATTTACAGATGTCAAGCCCCAGCAGCTCCCAAGGAGCTTCTTTGAGATAAAGCCATAGGACTGAAGCGCTGGATTGCTTTCTAAAACTGTTTTGTCTCCCTAGACTTAGCATGAGGTCTTGGCAGATGTTTTTTCAGTGAACACCACAAATAGACTAACAATTCACATACAGAAATGTATTGTCCAATACAAGGCAGGCTCTTGTACTTCACTAAAGAGGCCTCACCTTACTCAAATGCAAAAAAAAAAGGAAACAAAATGCAGAAAATCCAGGAGTAGCATGAACTGACTCGAGTCTGTTCCAACTGACAAACAAAAAGTTTTTCTGTACCACTTCTGATCAGGTTAGCGTACTTTGCCATTCAATAAAACTATCATTCAATAAAAATCCTCTTCAAATGTTATGACAGTAGAACAGTTTCTACATTGTTCCCACCTCTAAGCCATTGATAGGGGACAGACAGAAGTAATCCCAGGTATATCTACATCCTCTTTCCTGCTTCTTGCATATCTATTAGGGCAACTTTAGGTGTAGTCTAGTCCTCAGGATGAAGGAAGTACAAGTTTCAGCACCATTTGTACTATATGAAATTCAGTCATAGTAACTTTGACACAATGTATCTGTGAGGACACTCATTCATTGATTTACTATTGTTTGTGTTAAAGGAAGTTATTTTGCATGCTTAATTTAGCATTTAGGGATTAAGCCAAAGAAATATTGTCATTTAACTAAGAGAAAGTTAAGTTCTGTCACAAGGACAGGGACTGAGGGAAAGGTCAGTACTATAGGAAGGCCCCAATAAAGGAGGCTAAGTAAAAAAGGTGATAAAAGGAAAAATATCAAAGTAGTCAAAGGGGAAGACAGATGATGAAAGATACCAAGAGGAGTACAGACACAGACAGAAGAGGTAACAGACAACAAGGCAATACGACAAAGTGGATCTCAGCAGCACAGGGAAGCACTACCTTCACCAGTTCAAAGGGGAAACGCTCATGGAAGATGCGGTTAATCCTAGCTCCTCCTGACAGCTCATAGGTATCAATTTGGTCTCCAGAGCCTTCAATGCGTTTCTCAAAGTCCACAGCAAACTGCTGGACCATCCTGAAAGAAAACAAAAAGCATGAAGTAGAAGTCATGGCTGAGCAGTTATCTCCAGGGAGGGACATGCAGCTGAGGCCACTTACTGAAGCAGAGCTTTGGTCTTACGAGCAGGGTCATCAGGGCGAAAGTTCTTGTACTCCTCCACCTCCTTCTCAATGGAGAGAAGCTGGCTTTGGAGCTTGTTCCGCAGCCCTGGCAGGGTGTCACGGATGTGGTTGGTCAATTGCTGTACAAGAAGAAGGTTTAAGGCAATAACAAACCTCTAGGTGCTTACTGGGAAGAGTTTGCTACCTCCGCTCCACAAAATAAAGAGGAATGCTCCTCTCTCTGGTGTGATCCTAATAAAAAGTCTATCCCAGGACAGATACCAGTTATGAGATGGTTGTATCCTGCCTCCAACTCCTACCTGTTGCACTGCTCTATCCTTGACCTTCATTTTATCTTCTAGTCTGGTACAAAACTCCCATTCCTACAAGCCTGTGACTCCAACCCAAAAATAAGCTTCACATACAAGTATAAGCATTTGCTATTTACACCAGGGTAAAGGCTATTCTGTCTTCAGATTAGCACACCACTGACACCCAAGATGGTGGTGAAGCCCGTTTTCAATAAGGGTGACGAGACAAGGTGGAAGGAGCCAAAACCACTGATAAGGCTCTACTTAAAGTGTTTCCAGAGCCAGCTGTGGAAATCTCCAGTTTAACGATGAGTATTTAAATAAGGAGGAAAAAGGACAAAGTAATTCTTCACTTAAGGGAGTATTTCAAGGGAGCAGAGGGGGAAGCAACAATAAGTTGCTACAGTATGAGACAGGAGATAAGACAGCCTTAATAGATGGGAAAACGACTACCAGTATCACATTTGAATCAATCTTTGCAGCTTACTGTTAGGTACAGAGACAACTAGAAATTTAGAAGGTATCTTTTAGCTTAACCAGAAAGACCTTGCGTTCTGATAGCGTAAATGCCATGAACCAACTATTGATTTTGCACCAGTATCACTGAGAGGACAAAGCAGTGTGTAAAGCAGTCTTTGGTGTGTAAGCTCCATTATTGGCCTTACTGCATTTCACTTTATCAGTATTACACAAGTCAGGCACACTTTGTAGGACTTGGCACCAAAATGCCTTTTATGATGCACAGGAGGAAGAGTTAACCAGTCTTCAAAAGTCTCACTCTGCAATTTAAAGTATTTATCAGTTTGTTGACCACAAGTTTTAGCTTTTCCTGTGTCCTTCCATCTCATAAGAGCCCTGATGGCCAGCCTAGCCATTCTTGTGACATAGTGGGCAGCACTTCTTAACTGTTGACAATACCTGGTTCAACACTTTCTGCAGGTAGGGGGTTCCCATGCGATCAGCCATGTGTCTGTAGGCTGGGTGGGAGAGAAAAAATTTTCTCTCTGCAGCCAGAGCAGCCTGAATGTCCTTCTTGCCATCAATGTCCTTCTGACTTCTGTTGACTACACCAATGTAACCTGTAAGAGTGGGGTTAGAGATCAGGTAGTTGCAAGGACTGAGAATGTAAATGGGACTCAGACTGAGAAGGAAGTTACCCAGCTAGCAGCACTGCGTAAGGGGAATTCTAGTGAAACACCTTATTAGGGACAAATTGGAAGAGTTTAAAACTAGAATTTCCTCCAAACGGCCCAGGTTCTGACATATACAGGACAAAAATGACTATGCAACTGAGAACTAGCTTATTTATCACTGTTCCCCCAATCACAAAGCACACTCTAGTCTCATTCATTTGAGACTCTTCTGTTAAAGTCCTTGGAATAGATACTTCGCTATGGCTCTACACAGCATGTATTGCAGTCCAAAATTATTTCATCTGATACACTATGGCAATCTCATCTGGATAAAAGACGAGAGGAATCTTTTAGACAGGAGTTCCATTTTTGCAGCTTGCCTTATTAAAAGAAGGAAAGAGAAGGTAAAGATAAGAGCATAAGGCTAGGACTACATATCAAGGTACAAATACTTTAAAAGTTCCTATTAACAATGTGACTGATCCCTGTTCCCCAACTTTTCTCAGTTCCAGCTTGGAACAGAGATGGCTTAACCACAAGTTATAACAGATGTTGCAGTACGGGAATGAGGCCAGGACACCTCACACAGGAAAAATAGGAGGAGATTGTGGACAAAACATAAGGAAACATACCTCTACGAAGAGGAAGCAGTTTATTTTCTAATACATCTCGTGCATCAGTTCCTTCATCCATAAGATCCAGCTTAGTAATGACTCCAATAGTACGTTGCCCTATGGAAAAAAACAAACATACTTTATCAAACAAACAACTCATGTAATGCTTTCCTCTGATCACAGAGCTTACAGATTGCCCAACTTGCTACTCAAGAGCTCTTGAACTCAAACATTACAGTTCCAATCATGTTCAAGATGCCATGAGAGCAAAACAGACAATAAATTGAGCTCAGTTCTCAGTTATATCATGCTGAAACAGGCACATGCTATGCCACAGAGAGGGATTTGAGTGCAGATTTTCCGACTTTTGCCAGGCAGAATGGAGATGACTAAAGGAAAGGAAATCCTTCATCTCTTCAGAAACGGGGCTCAAACAAAGGAAGAAAAGGGAATAACAAAAATTCTATTACAATAACACTCACTAACACCTCTCAGAAGAATGTGTGTTGGTGAAGATACAACCCAAGACAGACAGGAGCCCACAGATACTGGACTAATCACAAGCAAAAGGAAAAATCAGGCCACTGTCTAGTAAAAAATTAAGAGGTATTTACCTTGAGGATCCACCTCCTTTGCAATCTTCAGGGCATCAGAGTTGGCCAAATCAGAGTTCGCTGGGGATACTGCCAGGATGAGGCAGTTCTCTTTGGTGACAAACTGCATGAGCATATCTCTGATCTGAAACTCAATGTCAGGGGGCTGGTCCCCTACTGGAACTTTTGTCATACCCGGTAGATCCACCAAGGTCAAGTTCAGGACTAGACATAGGAAACAGGAGAGAGCACAAGGGAGTGTTGAGGTAAGAATGTTCTGGTCTATAAGTACCACCTGTAGCTTTAGTGTCTCTGATCTATAATAAGAGACACACACAGAGGCACACAGAGTTCTAGTTCCTTTTTGCTACTGCTTAGTAAGAACTAGTTGCTAGATGTTACTAGTCATGATTATCAATGACCTCATCACCCTTCCCTTTAAACCACTTGTTTTTTCACTGATCAGGGAAACTGTGCCCTCAAAGTCCTTCCACATACACTACATTGAAAGGGAAGGGATGACAGTACATTGTTTCACTCCATAACAGAGACTGGAGAGTCAGAAGAGTTGGTTCCACTCATTAAGAGTTGTCCCCAGTATTGAAGAGCTCAGTCCTCCCACCCTTATTTTCAAGGGAGGCTCCTGTCAAAGTCAGCTGGGCTTTCTCCTGAAGGACTACAATATACAGCCCTATATCTATTTAATTGTCTTGCTGAGAGAAAAAATAAAGACTAAAAATCAAGCACAAGTTCCACCCAGCCAAATGCTATGTAGCACTGAGCTGCTGCTTTCCAAAACATGCCTATAGAGCTGTTTATATTTAAAGAGCTGGCAAATTTAGGACTATGCTGCTCCCTTGTTTAAGTGGAATTTTTCCACTGAGATCAGTGGCATATGACACAGGCACTACCTGGAGAGAACTATACAGAGTATGTATTTACATGCAAACAGAAGGCAACTGCTCTTCAAGAAAGCCACTCTCCCCATCACTTTTTTTTTGTTCCATTCCTTCCTTAAGCTGAAGGAGGGTCAATTTAGATTAGATGTTAGAAAGAAATTCTTTAGAGTGGTGAGGTACTATAACACGTTGCCCAGAGCGGTTGTGGAGGCCCCATCCCTGGAAGTGTTTAAGACCAGGTTGGATGAGGCTTTGGGCAACGTGGTCTAGTGGAGGGTGTCCCTGCCCGCAGCAGGGGGGTTGGAACTAGATGATCTTTGAGGTCCCTTCCAACCCAAACCATTCTATGATTCTATGATTTATTTGCCCAGTAAAGCAGTATTGCAAAGCAGAGAGAGACAGCAGCTCTTCACTGTAGTGCCCATACTGGTGGAAAGGAACAGCCTCAGGAATAAGTTTCTGCACTGACATCAGTTGTTTCAAGGAGAAGTTCTGCTAGCAGTCAGATACTTCAGCTGGCAGACAAGCTTGTTTTAGCAGTATGGCTAATGCTAGCAGTTTGATACACAGCATGGCCCAGGCACATGGAGATTAAAGTCAAAACCAAGCACACTCCCCATTTCATCTCTTTTCTTTCTGTCTACTTCATGACAAAGCAGCAACCTGACTCATCTATCTCCTGATTCAGATGCTGCATTAGGACTCACCATGGGGAGAGTAGACTCGAAGATTGATGGGCACAGGGGAAATCCCTTTGTTGGAGCCAGTAACACGATCCGTTTCAGCCTCAATTTCCAAACGGACCTCCTCAAAATCAGTGAATTTCTTTCCTTTGCAGTGTAGGAACTCACCATATTCTATTTAAACAGAAGCAGAGTGTCAGAAATAGTCATTGAAATCAGAGAAACTCCCAAAGTGTAATGAAAACATCATGTCCCAAAGCAAAACAAACAAACAAAAAAAAAAACAGTTGAAGGGATGAAGTCTGGCAAGGGCCTTTCCCATGAGGGTCTGGCAGGTTGGCATAGAAGAAGTTACTGCAATCATATTATCTGAGATCTTAACTTATGCTAAGGGCAATGGTAATGAAAATATCCTGCAAGTAAGCAGCAAAACCAGTGAACTGCCCAAGAGCCCAACCACAGAACTTTGTAGTCTTTTTTTCTTCTCCAGATCCCAGTGTTGTCGCACTGGGTTTTCACTACATTAAATCATCATACCCCCTTATTTCACTAGATTAGCAGCAGGGTCATGGAGCCTTGCCTAATAAATTAAAACTAAGAAGCATTTTGCTTCTGAACACTTAATGCATCAGATGTTAAACAGGTGGAAGTGAAAACGAGCTGCTGGTCATTTTTACTGGGGAAAATTCTTATTTATTTTTTCCACACTGAGCAGTGCCACTGATCAAAGAGGACCTTTCTTGACTAAGACAGTGATCCAGCTGGGCACACAGGGAAGGTAGCTCATATACCTGTGCTGGCGTTTACCAGCTGCAGAACCAGCGGGCGTCTGGTTACGATGCCAGATCCACGTGGCAGAAAGTCCCTGAAATGAAATGGGAAGTTTCAGATGAGTGAATGATTGTTTCCTTCCTTTTTCACAGCTTTTCTGCTTCTATAAGCATACATGGATTCTAACAGGGAGTCTCAGCCATGGGCACAAAAATATTTAAGGCACTAAAACCAAGTCCTCCTCCTCAAGGAGGATGAGAGCTTGTTATTCTGAAGAAGTCTGTACTCAACAAGACACCCCCTCTGATCCTGTCTGTAACAGCTCAAGCTCCTTCAGCTGAAGTTCCAAGCTAACTAACAAGCCCGTTTAAAACAATGGTCTGTACTTCAGAAAAAAAATAATCTTTTTCATGAGAAAGAAAAGAGAAATTGAAGCAGAGCCTGAAAGCTATCATGCCTCCTTTATACAAAATACAGTTACCCAAACTACAAAATCACTCATGGCCTGCACTTTGGGGCTTGAGAACACACCACACTGTTCCAGCAGGCAAACACCACATGATACATCTGAAAGAATAAGCAGCAGCCAAAGGCTTGCCTCCACCCAGGGTTTCTCCTGGCTAACTGCTCAAGACATAAGTATTGCCAAGGCAAAAGCAGCAGCAGCTTCTTTCTATATTCACAAGAATCCTGAATTTGTGTACTTCATCTCAAAGGAAGGAAGCCTTTCACTATCCTTCCCCAAATGCTGACTTAGCAGCCACAACCCACAAGTTCTCCTTTGCTTTTTCTTTTCCCAAATCCAAGAGCTTGGAGCAAGGCGCGGCATTCTTACAGCATCTGCCGATGACCTTGCTAGTTTGTGGCCTGGTTTTCAAGTACTCAGCCATTCATATGGCTCTTCAAGAGCCACTGAGCACTTCTGAAAATATGATCAATTGCTTCTTTGCCTAGTGGGAGAAGCATCACTTCAAAACATGGTTCCTACAGCATGAATATAGGGTTTTTTTGTTAAAAGAAGTCCTACCTACACTGCTGGGATTCTGGCACATGATCCTCCCTCCCCTGACAGCTGTGGCAATGAATAATTTTGCTAATTCAGTAGTGACTAACCACTCTGGTGGATGAGAAATCCAGGGCTCTCCATTTTGAGCATCTTGCTGTTAGTCTGGCATGAGCTTAACACTGACAAAGGAAGCGAAGATGAGGAATGAGCGTTTGTTTTAATACGTCAGACAAGGACTTGAGCAGTTTTGTTTCAGCTCCTGGTTTGCCCACTGATTTCCTATGTAATTGTATCCAAGTTCTACTTCTCTGTATTCCCCTTTCCTCAGCTATAAAAGTAATTCTCCATCTGTGGGGCTGTCAGAGTAACTTGATAATATCAAAAACTGTAGAGTAGTTTCAAGTGAAGGGAGGGTAAGGAGGTATCCTACAATCACTAACACCTCAAAAATATCTCCTGTAAGTTAGTCCAAGTGGGACCTCCACTACAACTCTACCAGTTAAAATAAGACTGTAACCTATTCTTATTATTTCAGACTTTTCAGAAGTATAAAGAGTTAACTGGGGTTTGTCTTTCATTTGTTTTTCAAATAATACAGCTCTAGTTTTTCCATTCCAGTGGGATTAACCCTGGAATCTTTGAGGCATTGCATCATTCCAGCAGCTTTCTGCTGCCTCAGCTCCACTCCTATAGATGTCTGTGGTCAATATGTGAATGAGTCCTACCCTAGCATCAGTTTTTAGCATAACAAATCCATTTCAGCTGCACTGACTTATTTTGAACTTACTGTACCTGAGAAAAACATATTTTATTACTATAGATTCCATTTCTAGCACACTGAGACAATACTCTAGTTACTGATCTCCAACTTGCAGTATCAAATCCTGCTTTACTGTAAGAAAAGCACCACCCACATTTACAAGCATGAGCTCTTTAGGAATTAAGATTCCACTCATGATGTGTTCTGTGTTTTCCTGAAGTTTTCTGCTTTGGCCAAAATCCTGATTTCTCTGCTGTCCTTGTCATAGCTACAAAGGCAAAAACTCAAAAATCAGGACAAAGGCAGATGAAAAAAAAATATCTATGAGGCATCTGGGTTCCAGCATTATGAAAAAAAAAAATCCAATTTATTGTGTGAAATGAGTAGTTCACAGACTATTCCAAGGAAAAACACTAAGCCCTCATAGAAAACAAGAAAACGAATCCATTAGGCAAATCTAGTCACCTAAATCAACAATCTTAGTGCTGCTTTAATTTTGAGCGAAAACATGTGCAATCTGATCCCTAATATGAAAAAAATGAATGTGTGTTCTCATCCACAAACTATTGGGGGGGTACATGCAGTTCAACTTTGAAGTTTTCTCTATGTTTGACTCCTATTAGGAGTTACAGACAAGAAGCTTTATAAAAATACAATCAATGCAGTATCACCCCATTGTATCAGTATTATTTCCTATTCTTTTATTCACCTTCTTTCTCTCTACAGTCTCCTGGACAAACTCCTTCCTTCTGCTCCAGCTGAGCCATTCAAATCATAAACACTAAAAAGTACAAATTAGTAAATTCTGCAGCAAGCTGGCTGGACACCAAGGAGAAGGCAGTGCATGGGAGTCTTGCCTGCCCTCTTGCAGTAGGCATAGTACATTGCTTCTGTAAATAAAATACAACAACAGAGCATATGTGGCATGGACAACATGCCCAGCCCAGGTTTTGAGTCCACTTAGGAGCCAGGGGAAAGATCTACACCCACACCTACTGCTCCCAGAAAGACCAGCACAAAGCGATGAAATTAAGATAGAATCAGGGAAACAGTACATGAGATAAGAACAACCACATGCCAGATGACTTGGGCAGACAAGAGCAGAAGGGTTAGATAAACTGGCTTATTCTATTCCAGCACAGAAAATGTACAGTAGCAAGGCTCAACGGGGAAATAAAGATGGAAAAAGTCTTCAGAGATAACATGCTGTAAGGCTCCGAGTGATCAGACAATGAGGGCAGCTGGGATTCTACTTCTAAGACAAGGCAGCCCCTAGCATGACATTAAAAGCAGCATCATTACATACATCACTATACAAGACTTTGTTCCTGAAATATGTTATTCAGTTAGGTTGAGGGCAACAACTCTGTTTTCCTCCTTCACTTTGTATCTTAAGAACTAAAAAGTCCTTTTTTGTTGCTTTGTTTGTAACACACAAGTGGCATGATAACATTTAATTTCCTATGCTTTTAAGCAGGAATACCACACTGTGCCACTTCTTCAGGCTACACTTTATCCAGAAAACACAGCGAAACAGCAGTTAAAACAGAGAAGCTGTATTCAGGGAATATATAAATACTTAATTTGCTTGTATCTTTTTGCTTAGCTATTGACTCCAAATTCCTTATCAAGATATTGAGGTATCAGTTCTAGCAATGCAGTTCCAAGCATTTTTATCAGAGTTGGAAAACTAGGCTCAGATCAGCTACATTCCCCAAACTGCCAGTTATGGGAAGACTTATTTATACATATTTCACACTCATCTTTTATTAACTACTGTCAGAGAAAGGATATTGAGCTAACTAAATTCTTGGTCTGACCAGTGGTAGATCTCCTCTTCTAAACAAAGACAACAAAAAGAACCAAGGATGCAAATCCAGATGGGTCTCAGGCTGAAAAGGTTCAGGCAGGGAAGTGATGTGAAAAGGCATTGATTGTTATATTTTGCTTTGTTCACTTCTGAAGTGCTCACAGATGTTCTCAACTAGCTTCACAGCTACCTCAGGGCAAACCCAATCACATCATCCCTTCCAATCTTATTTCTATTTTGGTATGCAGAGCTGCATTAAAGTACAGATTTGGGCTGAAAGCTGCATTAGTAATGCAATAGTAAAGAAATATTGGAGGGACAGAAAATGATCTAGCAGTTACTGCAGAGCAACATTCAAACAAAATCCAAACATGTCAGAAACATATTAAGGCAATCTTGATGTCATGCATCTATAATCAGGGCACTGGGGACTTGGCATTTCCCTACTAGTTTTTTTAAATGAAAGCCAGACACTATACAAAAAACCTCCATGCAGTAGGTATCCTGGAATCCTACAGAACAAAAAGGTGCTATTAATGACAGAAAAAGCACGTTTGCTCTATAAACAAATTTCAGAGTTCATTAAATGACTTGCACAGTACAGAGGATTAGAAGTTAAAGGTAACATGGACCAAAGACATTTCCCTCTAGACTATTCGTAAAACACAGGAGGTTAACAAACTGCTTGTATAATTCAACATATAATCGTATGTAAAGGGAAGAAAACATTGACAGATGCAGTAAAAAGTAGGACAGATACCCATATGAAAAGTTTGGGATTTCCTGAAGAGGCACATATTGAAATTTCCAGACAAGTTTCTTGTGTTTATTCATTGCTACTACATTGAAGAAAGTGTGATTGTCTCCATTAAAAGAAGAGATTTGCATGAGCTGGTTTGCTACAGTAGGGCCATGTTTGCTCCTAATGAACACACACAATTTGCTAGTCAAAAAACCACTGGTTTACTCCTTTGGTCAAACACTTGATCTTGATGTTAAACAAGAGATAACTAGATCTTTGGAGGAGAAACTAGTCTTCCAGCATCTCAGTGATAGTTACAGCCATATCATGCCTGATTCATCTGCTTTGTTAGAATAAATGTTCTCAAACCTGGTAACACAAGAGAAAAGTGATTGCATGAGCAATTCTGTCCATGCTTTGCTAGAAGTGGATTAGCTCGCTGTTTTAGGTTTGTGCTCTAAGGCTAGCAGTTACAGTGGCATTTAATTCCACCAATATAGCATTTGCAGGTAACCTGCCTATGACCTTGTAGCCATGACATTCAGCAGTGGCAACCATAACTTCCTAACAGTGAAGGAAGGTAACATACTAACAGCATCCCCACATACCAGCTCAGACTGCAACTGCTCCTCCATAGATACTCTTCCCCTGCAAGCGTGAGCATTGTGCATTCCCTCCTTCCATCAAGTTCAAGCGGAAAAGCACCTCTGCTGGCCATCTCCTTTGCACTGCATATAAACAGTCTACTTTTTTGCAGCTCATTGCTTTAAATTTCT